TTTGTTGTTCAAAGGGTTGTAAGAGAACTGAACGTTGAAATTGATAAAAGAATTTCCTTATTTCATTTTCAAAGTAAAATTATCTATTTTACCTTGAACGCAGGCGTCACTCCATCTTTGAGAGGTGTAATAAAGACTGGTGATAGAACATCTACCTCAAGAAATTTCCTGAATGTCAGATTTATCAAAAGATACTGGAGGTAGACGCAGCTCGATAAAACGATAATTACAACAAAAAAGAACGGCGACCAAAATTGGATAGCTGGCTCCACGTACCTAAGTATCTTTTTTCGATTATCTCGCATAATGTCACTCAGCAGTGCATAATGACATGTCAAAATTTTGAGCACATTCTCAAGCTTCAATGACTTCAACCTGAAAGCATCCCGAATAAGTTAAAAGCTTGAAAACACGCCCACACATGCCGTCAGAACAACTTATTCCAGCGATTTCCAATTTCTACGGAGGGAGGAAGAAACCTTTTAAAAAGGCCGAGGAAGGAATATCGCACTGTCTAAGCCAGTTGACAAACGACGACAGTTCTCAGCAAATAGTTAGATTAAGGATTAGAAAGTTTCGAATTAAAGTTGAAATGTCCATATTAGAAAGAATGAAGGGAAAAAGACTGCCTTTCTTCATCATCTCCCACAAGGCCATGAAAGGTTGCACCGGAATTCAGCAGCGATTTCAATATGATTCCATTTCCAAAGGTATATGCAATTTCCAGTGGAGATCGGCTATTGCAATCCAACCAGGAAACCGGCGATCCCAATTCGAGGAGAGTAGCGACGCGGCAATTCTAATAAAACCATATTAATGAAGACAGAAGAGACTATAAAAACGGATGTAAGGAACTGACTGCTATCTATGTCTAAACCACCCACTTGGCCTTTCTCAACAGCAAGATGTAAAGGAAGTTTGAGCAGAATGTCTTGCACACGTAATAATTCAGGAGCCCAATTCACCAGTGCACGGATAAGATGATCACCTTCATGGGTTCTACTGCATCTTACGTTCCGACAAATCTGAAAGAATGAAACTCCACCGAAAACAAAACAGACAATCGACAAAGCGAGTTATCCCTTGGCTTGAAAAATCTAGAATTGAGTCCAATCAAGGCTGCGAGAATATTGACGCCTGACGTTTCTTGTATCAGGGATTCAGACTGTGAGAACTCACTATTAAGTCCTCCACCTGCACACAGTCCAAAAGTAAGAGCTTTATGGCTAGCTAAAACTTCTTTCGTATAAAAAAATATGCAAACGCCATACCGAATGTATCAGAGTTCCTCCGTACTCGTCTCGCCACGTAGATATGAATGAATATACCGCTCCATTTGGATCAG